AAGAAAAATTAATAATGAGTCTAAAAAAATTTGATGCTTCTAAGCAATCCTTCTGAGTTTTCCTTATTTTAATAGGTGCCCAGATGGAAGTAGATTATACAGAACAGCTGAATTTCAGTGATGATGATGAGCAAGGAAGTAATAGTCCTAAAGAAAACAACAGGTAAGTTGTGATGTCTTTTACGATTAATAGTGTGAGTTTATTGGCATTAAATCTGAGAGGCTTCATTATTAATAGGCATTTGTTCTTTATAGAATTTCTACATTGCATTCCAAGGACTTTTATTGAGTGTGGATGTGATTAATGAGCCAATTTAAAAAGTACAGCTAATCAATAAATTAAAGTTTTTTGTTTCTAAAGAAAGTGTATATTTTAACAAAGATGTTTAGATAACTGCCATCTAATTGGAGATCTTTTTTAAAAAAATATATATATATATATTATTTATTTTTTTTATAGAGAGGAAGGGAGAGGGATAGGGAGTTAGAAACATTGATGAGAAAGAAACATTGATCAGCAGATCTTTTTTAATTCTCACCCAAGGATATGTGTATTGTTTTGAGAAGTGGGGAGAAACAGCAATCGCTTGCCTCCTGTACACGCCCCAACTGGAGATCGAACCCACAACCTTTTGGTGTATAGGACGACATTCCGACCAACTGAGCAATTCAGCTAGGGCTAATTGGAGATATTTTGAGAGACAACATTAAGGACCATTTAAAACTTATTACTTGCTTGACCTGATCTATAATTTACAAAATTGGAGAAATGTTACTTGGGTTACTACATCAAGACAAGCTACATCAAGTCTTTGATTTTTTTAAGCTTAACAAGCAGCGTCTTGAAAAATGGGAACTTTATTTTTTCTTTCTTATGGAATATAGGGGCCCCAGCATCAGGAATATATAGGTTATGTGGCATAGCAATTCAGCTTTTAAAATACACAGGAGCTTGCTTACATGCACACATTGGTGTCGTTTTTCAGCCATGGCATTGTAATATTCTGCTGTTTCGTGATCAGTTGTGAGATGCTGTGATTTGTTGTGGGTGTTTTTTTTAATACTGTAATTTGATTTATCTTTTTCATTAAATTAAAATAAATTACAATGCAGTTATTAAGTATCTGTAATGTTATTAAGTTGTATTCACTTGGGACTTTGGGTGAGGGTGATGGAAAATGACGGGCCATTTGCCAGGTTGTGTTGGGTGTGAATATATATTTTTTTATTATTATTATTTTTTAATCCTCACTTGAGGATATTTTTCCATTGATTTTTAGAGAGAGGGAAGGACAGAGAGAAGCATCAATGTAAAAAAAATATAAATTGGTTGCCTTCTGCATGAGCCCCGACTAGGGTCCGGGCCCAGGCCAGGGTGGAGCCTACATTCAAGATATGTGCCCCTGACAAGAATCGAACCCAGGACCATTTGGTCTGCAGGCTGATGCTCTATCCACTGAGTCACCCCAGCTAGGGCTGTGAACATCTATTTTTGACAGTACTGTACTTTATATTTTGTGGTAATAACTTGGCCAAACCCAGTCCCCACTACAGTATAGGTATATATAGTGGTGCTAATTTGTTTATATATTGAATAAACAAATTAGCACCACGGCATCACAAAACCATCTCTTTCATTCCTTGATAGATTTTTTTCCCTTGAAACCATCTGGAAATATCCTTTCTACATAAAGAAAATTCATTTACTTAAGGTAGAGTCTGTCCATCTCACTTTTCTATTTCACTTGGTTTTTTTATTATTCAGTGAGGATCAAGGTTCCAAAGCCTCTGAAAACACTGAGATTCGAAAAGAAGCAGATGAGGGGAGCAGTACTAAATCATCATCTCAGATACCTACCCAGCCACCAGTAGCGAAAGCTCCTTATGGGAAAGGACTGCCATTTAACCAGGTTTGTTGGGCTCAAGAAGATCTTTGTCACTGCAGATACTATGGATGAATTAACCTTATTAATCAGAGTTGGACAAAGACTTAGCAAACGGAAATGGTATATTTTTTCCTTGAATAGCTCTAGATCTAAATCATAATTTTATTGCATATAATAGGAATTGTAATACAGTAACTAAAATTATTATGTAGAAACTAAACTTTTACCCTTTTTTTGGTATAACAATTCTGTCGTATCGAAGTAGAGGAATAAATTGTTTTGCCAGGCTACCATTGCTGAAGGGCTTTATGGTTCACTGCATACTTTATACATCCTAGTCAGTAGTCATCTGAAATTGTACCCTGAGTAGGGAGGTCACACATAGGGACTAGAAACATCTATTAACTGTGATCCATTTTGAAGAACATTATTAAAGAAGGGAAGTAAGTATGTGGGCAACAAATACACTTGATCCTACTTCAAAGTAGCAAGAGCTTCATTGAGAACCGGGAATAAAAAAGAGCTACCTTCCAGAGAGTCCACTTAACGCCACGTAATAGTTGAAGTCACGCAAATAGATGGAGGAACCCGTCCCTTCAGGGCATACAAGTGGGTAGCTAGCAGTCTCTATGAAAGCAAAAGGAAGTCAACAAACTTCAGTTACAGCACACTGTGATAAAGTGCTTCAGGAGAGAATGCACATAGGAAATTCTTGGAGAATACTATGGAAAAACCTTTACAAAAGACTTGGTACTTGAAGCAAGAATTAGCCAGTAAACACGGGAGAGCAATTCCTAGCAGTGAGAGCAAGAGTAAGAGCTATGTAAAAACCAGTCATTAGTTTTGTATGCTATAAAAGGAGGTTTAAATTTTGTTCTTAAAGCATTGGTTAGCCCGGCCATGGGCAAACTACGGCCTGCGGGCCAGATCCGGCCCGTTTGAAATGAATAAAACTATTGAAAAAAAAGACCGTACCCTTTTATGTAATGATGTTTACTTTGAATTTATATTAGTTCACACAAACACTCCATCCATGCTTTGTCCAGCCCTCTGGTCCAGTTTAAGAACCCATTGTGGCCCTCGAGTCAAAAAGTTTGCCCACCCCTGGGTTAGCCATTGGAGAATAAATTTGGGAACTCTGAAAAGGGATTTTTCAAGTATTTTTCATTCTAAATTTCATCATTTGTGTCAGTTTTAACCTACTGGCATAATGGGAAATGATATTCCTTTGTGAAAGAATAGAGAAATACACACACACACACACACACACACACACACACACACACACACACGGGGCCTGGTGCACGAGTTCGTGCACCTTTGGAGTCCCTTGGTGTGGCCTGCAGGATTAAGCCAAAACCAGCTCTCCGACATCACCCAAGGGGTTCTGGATTGCGAGAGGCACAGGCCAGGCTGAGGAACCCCACCAGCGTACGATCAGGGATGGGGAGGGATGCGGGAGGTCTCCAGGGGGTGTCTGACCTGTCTCACTCAGTCTCGATCAGCTGAACCCCAGCAGCAAGCTAATCTACTGGTCAGAACATCTGCCCCTGGTGATTAGTGCACATAATAGCAACTGGTCGACTGCCCCCTAGTGGTCAGTGCACATCCTAGTGAGCGGTTGAGTGGCCTTAGCATATCATTAGCATATTAAGCTTTGATTGGTTGAATGGACAACTGGACACAGCATAGTAGGCTTTTATTATATAGGATATTTTTTGTTTAAAGTATTATATATGTCTCCTTTTTCCCTGATTGACCCCCTCCCCTGTCCACTCCCATCCCTGGGGCAAGCCCCCACCACCCCAGTGTCCGTGTCCATTGGTTATGGTAATAGGCATGCATGCAAGTCCTTTGATTGATCTCTAAACCCCCCTCCCTCCCCTGCCCCTTGTCTTTGGATCTGTTTTTGTTCATTAGTTTATGTTGATCATTATATCCCACATATGAGTGATATCATATGATATTTATCTTTCTCTGACCAGCTTATTTTGATTAGCATAATGCTCTCCAGTTCCATCCATGCTGTTGCAAATGGTAAAAGTTCCTTCTTTTTTATAGCAGCATAGTA